CGGCTGGGCAGCAACCACGATGCTTTTTCTGTTGCTGTCCAGGCCGAAGCCATCACCAGAGTCGCTGGCAAGCAATTGCAACACTATCGGCGCTGGGGTTACGCCCTGCAACAAGCAGCAATCGAAGCATCAACGCTGGTGCAACGAGTATCAGAATTTGTGAGATCTGCCCGACTTGGTCCCATACAAGAAGAAGTTGACTGAACAGATGTCGCATGAAAAGTTTCCGACTGAAGCCTTCGTGAGATTGCAAGTACTGGTTGGAGCAGCAGTTGCAACATGATGAGCAATACGATCCCCTTATGTTCCCGATACGCTTACATGTTGGTCCCAGTGCTAGTACTAGTAATAGTACTGGTATTGGTACTGGTCCTACCTCTACTACTGTGCGGCTTCTTTGAAGCTGTTGCCGCTGCTAGTGTTACTATGTCAACGGGTTGTCGTCGTCGACGTCATTGTAGTCGTAGCTATGGCCATCAGGGTAGCTCCCGTGATGTTCTGCCATAAACAGCAATAGTGCATGACGTCGCCCAGCACCAAGATTGTTTCTAAAATTGACGATGAAGCCAGCGGTCCCATGTGACTGGTAGTATGCATGCTGTTTTTACAGGTGCCGGCGGCACCTGAAACCGTTTTTCGCTTTGTTATGTCATTCATTCCCAAGGCAAAACCCGGACAGAACGGACTAACCGGCCGTCGGACGATTCTGTGTCGGGTCACTAAGACTCACACACCTCATTCAGAATCAGATTATCCACAGGAGTACGTAGTGGAGTATGCCTCCCACACTGGGTAAACTCGGGGTTTTGTCTGCGAGGAGGAGAAGATTCGTGAGCGCCTGAAGAATTACCACTCCCAGATTGACGGGATCACGCCTTTCTTCAAGGCTCAGCATATTTGCTGGGGTTTCCGCATACGAGTGACGTGGGCACGGGGTTGGGGCTTGTCTCTAACGGAGAGACGTTTGTGGACAAAAGGAGGCAGAGGACGAGAGAGAGAGAGAGAGAGAGAGAGAGACGGACAGCAGATGCCCATACGCGTGCACCCACGCCTACATCGAGACAGGAGGGGGCCCTGCTGGCCGGGGCTTGACAAGCCCCTCATGCCCTGAAGAAGAGCTGGACCTTGTTATGGGTTGTTTCTGTTGCCGGGGGTCGAGCCGGGACCAATCCTAAAATCTGCTTGCTCTCGGGACAGGTTCCAAATGCGTAGTAAACTTGTTGTGTAAGAGGTTGAGTAGCAGTCGCCTGAGCGACGGCGTCTATTTGAAGAGCCCTGTGACACAAATCGGGGAACAGATAAAGGTTGCTCGCTTTTGCTGTTCTGCCAGGTTATCGCTGGCATTGGACCGCAGGGTGTTTCGATTGTCGGGCGATTGACCGTTGACTTTCACGTGTACAGTCATAATTTCTTACACACTGGTTGAATTCTTTCACGTATTTCCTCCCACAAAGCCCCGAAACATAGGGACCCAGGCTGCCGGGGGTTTGGAATGGCCGCTTATGCCGGAGAAAAAGTCCCTAATCATCCAAGGAACAGTTGGTGCGGAGCCTCGTTCTAATCAGAGTCTTTTCGCACAATGGTGCTGCTTTCATGCTGTGTTGAGAAAGGACAAAGTAGTGAGCGAGCGAGCTGGTGAGCAGCTAAGTCAGAGTATGAGTGAGTGAGCGAGCGAGCGAGCGCACGAGTGAGAGAGAGAAAGGAAGGGGAGCGGAGCAGAGTGTGATCAGAGAGTACGAGTGACAGTGTGAGTGACTCATCATGCCCGGAATAGAGAGGAAGGGAGGGAGGCAACCAGGGGGGCGCTAGGGGGAAGAGAGAGGGAGGGCTGGAGGAGGGCGAGAGAGAGCGAGAGCCAAAACAAAGTTAGTTCGGGACTGCCTGGCAGCGGGAAATATGACAAAGCTGTGGCAGGATGTTCTCTACGAGGTGGACGGCACCGGCAAGCCGGCTGAGGTCTTCACCTTGATCGAGGAAGATCTCGACAAGATGTAGGCGTGGCCCTCGTTTCCGGCTCCGAAGCCTTCCCAACCATGTCCGACGAGAATTGCACGTCGCGAGTCTGTGGTTTGGTGCCGCCTTGTATCGTATTGATCGTTTCATGCTCGAACGTGTGAGATTCTGGGGGTGACCTGTCGGGAAGTTTGTGTGTGCGGCTGACCACATGAACTATCCCGATTACAGAATAGTGTCAACGCCGTCTTTTGGCCCGAGGGGGGAAGGATGGGCATAGGTTCTTTGTCAGGTTTGCCATCAGCACCAGCGAGTGAATCGACGATAATGTTCTTCTAAGTCGCTATCATTGGTACTTCTCGAGCAGGTGCATCATCGAGCAGCGAGAGCTGTTCTGATGCAAAAGGCGAGCGTAAGTTTTCAGCTTTACTTCGGCATTTCTCGGCCTACAGGTAGGCACCGCTCGACCTGGTGCGTTGCCCTGTGGACTCACCGGTTGGTGTTGGCAAGATCCTAATTAGCCTGAAAATTCCAACGCAGCTGAAGTTCCTTGGCCAACCCAACGATTCACCCGGCCGGGCTGCCACACTTCAAGGCGCATTGAAACTGGCAGTCCATGCTACATAGATGCTAGATGTAAGCTCACTCATGGAAGCCTGTGGCGGCTTTGTAGTTTGTCGAAAAAAGTGCGGCATCCTTGGTCAAGCCTGCTACGAGGCGATGTGAAACCCCTCTGTACCGGCAAAATGTTTCGATCTCTGACTTCAGTCAGAGCTGGCTCTGCAGGCAATCGGTACCTGTGCAAACCAAGACCCAAAACACTGTTTGCACCGCTCCCGCGCAGCTGACTTCGTCAAGTGGGAGGCCATCCCCGCAGGGCTGTCCACCATGAATATGGAGACATGGCAGCACCCAGCCGAGGTTCTCAAGGCTTCACCAGATTCGAGCAAACCTGCAGTTTGAGGATGTTTGAGGGTTCAAAGCTTCCAGAGCTGCGTACTCCTCCATAGCAGGCATGTCGCAGCGAGGTGCTTCCAGGATCGCAGCAGGGATTGCCGCAGCGCAGGGTGCGGCGGTGTATTTCATTTGGACGCACCTGCCTCTGCTTCAGCGGCTCAGGACCAGCCAAGTGCCAGCCGCCACCTTGCATACAGGCGCGATGGTCCTGGACGGGAAAGGATGCCTTACTTCAGGAGCACTTGCTGTGCATATGGATTTCCCGCGTGCAACGGGACGTATCTTGCTGATACTTTGTCGTAGTCCTAGCCCACGGAGCCTGAAGCAATTGATCACCCGTGCCTTTCATCAGCCGCTGGATGGGTCATGCACTCGAATGGCGTGGCACAAGAGCTGACGGCATGGCATCTTGGCTCGGGAGGGAGAGTAGGCTTCTTGAGTGAGGAGGTAAGGTCAGGGTCGGAGGGCTTTGAGTTGAGGTTCCGGCACTTTCCATTCAATCGATCTCGGATCAGCGAACGGACTCTGTAGGAGGACACCTCAGATGGCATCCAGGCATTATTTGGTTTTCATTCTGGCATAAAGCCACGTAAAACCTTCGAGAATGTTTAAAACTGAAGGTGTTTCGAGTCCGTCTTGAAAGTTTTCGACAATACTGAAGATGGTTGGATGTGTTCGTCCGGTCCAATGGTGTGGAGCTAATATTTATTCAGAACCAAGACACCCAACATTCACAGTTGATGATTTTAACAATAGTGGTGGTATCTATCTACCGACCTACCGACCTACCGACCTACCTACCTGCCTACCTGCCTACCTAGCTAGCTGGCTAGCTAGCTAGCTAGCTACTTATGCATGCATATACATATATATATATATATATATACATACACATATAGATATTTACGCACATGCGCAACAGTTAGCGTACATGTTGCTTAGCTGCTCTGCCAATGTTAACAGTCGAATCAGCACAGATGGTCAAGCGAGCATCACCAGCACAACAGGTTCCTTGAGCTATTCCTATTCTTCGTTTCAAGACGACAATCGGCAGTTGACCGTCTCGAGACGGTAGTAGCAAGATGTAGCGAGAGCATTCAGACATTCAGGCCCTGATGAAGTTCTCTGTCTCGAAAGTGGTACCAATGAAGTTAACTTGGCCACTGACGCCTTGGCTCTGAGTTGAACAGTGAAAGCATGAGTCGTCAACAGCTTCAAAACCTGGTCCAGAAGTTGCGAAGTAGAGTCGCGAAGTGAACTCAAAAGTCATCACCTGCGCGCAAGGAACTCCAAGGTGGCTCCTTCGGCAAGGCGGGCCTTGGGCACCCAAACCTGCTATGCTCCTATTGGCCACAAGAAGGATGACTCTCCATATTGCCTTTACCAGAACTCCTTCCGTTCAGCGCTACGAGGACGACCGCCGGCACCGCGATCACCGCCGCTGTTGCTGCTGCTGCTGCTGCTGCTGATGATCCATATGATGCCGATGACGTTGTTGCTGTTGTTGTTGGTGATGATGGTGATGATGAAGATGAGTTGTAGCATCGCTATTCTCATGACAGAGATCAGTCATCATTGCCACCATTGTTGTAAGTAACATGACTCGCATCAGGGTGAAATATTTGGACTAGTGATCCCCTCGCATAGCATGTTTCCCGAATTTCAGAGTTATGCTGGGATCAAGATATGGCAACGGCAACACACCTTGACTGCCGTGCCGAGATGCTTCGATGCAACCTCATGAGCAGCAAGGAGAACAAGCTGAGATCCGTGCGACCAACCTGCCTTGCCATGCGTGTTCGGGCACTGAGCTGGTGTTGGTTCGTGTCAACTGCAGTGTTGCTAGGCTTTGTGAGAATTGGTCCCTTGCAAGGACAGCAGGTGTAGTAGGTGGGAGGTTCAGACATTCATGAGCACCCTCGTGTGCTGATGTCGCAGCGTATCAAGTCGAGGCTTGATTGAACGGTGTAGAGTCAGTAGAGTTGAGTTCAGCCCCGACTTTCTAGAAGCCTTGCACTACAGACTACATGCCAACTGCCTTTGCCTCAAAGTGGGGGCCTGAAGGGTGTTGCATTCGTAGCGGTCGCATCATGGCTGCAGCGGATTGCGTGCTGGCAATAGACTGGCCGAGCTTGACAGACCCACGGAAGGAGGTCCGGGAGCTTCTCGCATGTTGTTTGCCTTCGTGCTGAGAACATGATGGATGTTCCATGCTGTGATCGACTTCGAGCAGATGTTCTGCAAGCCGCACAACATGCGTTTCGATCATTCATGCATTTGGTCGTGCTCTCTCCGTTTCAGAAGAGTCGAGATGTCTGCATCTATTGTTTATACAGAGCCGTTGCCGAATCGCGTGTAGCATTGCTTTGGATATGCAGTATGATTAGTTGGCGGATGCAAGATTGCCGGAGTGGTTGCATCCCGCTTTGGTGCAGAAGCGCTGAAGCCTTCCCTTTCAGGAGAAGATCCATGTACTTCAGGACATCTGCATTTGACTAAGACTCCATCCGCAGTCGGGCCTCTCCACTTGCGGGAGCTGCTGTTCAGGGACGATGTTTCGGATGTAGCTGGACGGATTTCGTTTCAAGAAATGGCGGCCAGTGAATGCTTACACTTGTGCACCTTGGTACCTTGTTCCCTCGAGCGCGTTGCATCAAGCAATGAACTCGAATCTCCGAGCCCTGTCCAGGAGTCCAGTGCTGCAAACCCGGCAGTAAACCCTAAGCCGTCCGAAGCCGAAATCCTACACCCTCCACCCGAAACACCTCGAAGCTCTGAACCCTCAAAGCAGACACAAAGTGTCCACTGTCGCAAGGACCTGGGCTTCTCGCCCTGCGAGGAAGTGGAGTCGCCGGTGGTGCGCTCCAAGACACTAGAGAAGGGGAGAGATAAGAAAAGGGGTGACGTTTCCAGACTTTCAGGGCTTGGGGTTTATGTAGTAGGCCACACCAGGTGCCCTGCCTAGGAGTCTTGCGGGATTTCGAAGCTGCAAGCTTCTGGCTCAAAAGATAGGATTCTGTGATGCTGCTGACGGGCCTCCCCATGCGTCGTCCCTGACCCAATCATTGCTTTGCTTCTGTTCCTTCGGAAGCCACGGTCTTGAATTTACTTTAGGCAATGGTGTACATCAATGACTTCGAAGAGTTTGAAGCCGCGGCGCAGGAGTTGTTCTCGCAGCATCCTCTCAGGACCGCAGTGGCCACTCTGGTCGGGAGGAAGATCTTTGAAAAGGAACGTCCGCAACCCCAAGCACCGCATCCTGAAGATCCCTTCAACCATTGAGAACATCGAAGTTCGAACCCTGAAGCCTGAACCCGACCACCCCATCTTCAATGCTCTAGAATCCCAGCCGGAGCCATCTAAGGCCCCTCAGAGCGTCCCTCGTCGTCCCTCAGGGTAGAGCTCGGGATTCACTTGTCTCGACAGGACCCGATATTTGGTCAAGTACCGTCACAAAGAGGGAAAGGCCGGGGTCTCGCGCTTCCGGGTGTCGGGTTTAGAGTTTTGGGGTTTTGGCGCAGGGTGCTGTGCGGTTTACAGGTTTAAAGTTTTGGGTTTTTGTTTGGGAACAGTGTGACATCAGCCACGCTTCCAAGCACCCTCGAAGGCAATCCTCAAAGTGACTAACGACAGGATATGTGGGCGCCCCAGAGCAGAAGTGGTATTCGTGTGTTGCCAGCAACTCGATTGCTGCACAAAGGCATCCCGTTTCAGCTAGAACAGTGACACCAGTGACACCAGAGGATGAAGCCGCTTGCCCCCAGGCCTCAAGTTCCGCACGGAGCTCATAGCTTTCCTCAAGCGCATAGAGAAGTTCTCTCAGAACTGGGCGCGCTGGACCGTCACCAAGGCGCGGAATGCGAGCAAAATGTGGATGGAGGATGGGGTCAAAGAGTCAAAGAGTCAAAGCGTGAGGATCTGACGAAGCTCAGTGAGCCGGACGAGGAGCTCGAGGCCGTGTGTCGACGCTAGAGGAGTCCTCGCAGCCGCGTGGTGCTCGAGGCGGCCAAAACAGCCGCCAAGCCGACCGCCAAAGCCAAGCGCCGGAAAGGCCTGCGGTGCCAGTTTGGACCCTTGCGTCGCGGGTAGGGATGCCGAGGGATCTATATCGAAGCTAATGAGGAGCTGCGCTGAACGAGGGGAGATCCCACAGAGTGCCTAGCCCTTCAACACATAAGCCAAAGCGGCAGAAGGTTTTTGACATTGTCCGGCATTCTCCCACATCTATCTTCCATTTGGTATGCTGTTCGAGATTGTGGTGGTGGTGGTGCTGGTGGTGTTGGTGGTGATGTAGCTAGCTAGCTAGATTGGTTGATTGATTGATTGATTATTTGATGGATTGACTGTTTGACTGTTTGATTGCTTGATTAGTTGCTTGCTTGGTTGGTTGGTTGGTTGGTTGCTTGTTCCATTGATTGGCTAATGGATTGATAGTGAGTGACTGAGTGAGTGAGTCAGTCAGTGATTCATGGTCGTTGTCGCCGTCGTCATCGGTCTTCAGACGCAAGCAGCAGTCAACATCCGCCTCATCATAATTTCCATCTCCCCCGAGCAGCAAGCCTCTCAGAAGACGGCCCCCCTGCAGGCTGAGCAGCACGCCTGAGTAGGGCCAGGGTTAACGCAGAACAGCTGCGGCTGTAGAGACACGTTGCGAGACGTTGTCTAGGGCACAACCAGCTGAACTATCGGGTTTTGATCCAACTCCGTCCTGTGTGTTCTAACGCTTCTGCTTAGAGTTATGCAAGAAGTGTAAGACGGCTGTGAAGGGAAAAAGCGGGCTATCCTGCAACCGGGCTGACGGAGCCCAAAAGTTTGCAGTCGCAGATCTGCAGGTGTCATGGCTTGCCTACATAGCTGTCTTGAGTACCCATCTTTGCGATTTTATGCGCGGTTGTGGCAGGCTAGAGACCAACGCGTGGTTGCGTGTCGTTGGAGAAACTGAAGACCATGACAGTTTCGGCAGATGTCTGCAAGGAAAGAGCATCTCTGGGCTGGGGGCCGCAAGTGCCAGGGGTCATGCACATCCCACTCCTCCCACCATGCTGTGTGTCCGGGTCCTCCGGCCCAGGCCATTGAGCTACGTCTCCAGATGGAGGTCCCTGATTGGGCTTGCGCCAGAGTCAAGCCTGGGACCGCATAGCTTCTTCATGGTTTCGTATTCACGTGTACGGACTTTCTTCACAGTGCAGGGAGCACCACCTCGTGAGCTAAGCCGTCCGGTGCCGAGATGACAGCCGATGGAACGAAGGCAGTGTTACATGATACTACGAGCAAGGCCAGTAATGAACAGCCACGGCCGTGAATGGAGAGCGACTCTCAATATCCTCGGGATGTGCACGGCAATGTCTCTGAGAGCCGAGGCACATCGCGGGACCTGCTGGTGGATGTCATGCAGGCCAGTGGCGGTTGGAAGCAGGGCTGCAGGGCTGTACCACCAAGTCGAATCTCTGCAGATGTCATGCTCAAACTGTGGCCTTTCAAGGTCTTCTAACTCACAGCGCAGTTGCTTGCATGTTAAGATGTCAAAGCATGCCGAGCTTCAGTTTCCAAGTTCGGATCGGCAAAGCCTCGTGACGGCCTCGTGCAGCATGGAGTCCAGGGCTCTTCGGCAGCCTCACATGGCCTGACCCTTGCTCGCCTCAAAGCTTGCGAGAGCTGGAACCTGAGAGTGGCCATGGCTTCCAGCTTCGACTTCGACGAGTTGGAGCGTTTGGAAGAGAAGGTCACGTCCGAGGAGACGGTGCCCAAGGCCTCCGGCACGCAGCCGGAGGAGAACGAAGAGGACGAGGAGGCAGAAGAGGTGGAGGAGGATCGCCTCTTCGACTTCGAGTCGAGGCACACTCTAGCCTCTGAAGTTCCCACAGATTGCCCGAGTGAGGTGAAGGTGATAGATGTGACGCAGGCGGCTGGGGAGGACTCCAAGGACAGCCGGTACCCGCTCACCGAAGTTTCGGTTGATGCGATTCGGGAGATTGGCAACGGCTACTTCAAGGCCGGAGACTACTTGGGCGCTGAAAAACATTACTCCATGGCTCTGCAGATGCAGCAAGGCCAGCCCCTGACCCCTCGACTTTTCTCCAACCGCGCGGCCGCGCGCTTACGGCTTGGGAAGTGGGAGGGGGCTCTCCAGGACGTCATGGAAGCAGCCAAGAGGGATCCGGGAAATCCGAAGATCTTGGAGCGCTTTGGGCGGTCCCTGCTGCTCACGAACAGGCTTCCGGAAGGAGTCCACATTTGCAAGCAGCGCCTTCGAACGCTGTCTGAGGTGCAGAAGGCAAGCGAGGAGTGGAAGGCCTTTCTGGCCATGTCCACTCGGCTGAACCACCATGCCGGGGTGCTGCATGAGATGGAGGGCATTTTGGCGAAGATCCACAAGGCTGGTGGAAAAGCCGACTCTTCCCAGGTTTCTGATGCTGCTGCCATCCTGCATGGATGTGACTCGATGCTGAACCTGCTCACCGAGACTGAGGTCCGATCTCCGCTTGGCGTGCGCCTGCGCTTCGCCAAGCTTCGGGCCTACCTCTACCCAGTGCCCGGCGGGGCCGGAGGCGGGGACGAGCTGAGCGAGAAGCGCCGAGACTGGATCGAGAAGGCGCTTTGTGTTGTGGACGGGCTGATTTGCGAGGACCCAGCGTGGCCAGACTCTCATCACTGGCGGGCGCGCTGCCTCGTGCGCCTTGGCCGGCGCCAGGAGGCCCGTGAAAGCCTACGAAAGGCACAGCGCTTTGCCGAGCAGAAGGGGGGAAGACACGATCTCACGGAGGAGCTGCTGGACAGTATGCGACTTTTGGACCAGCAGAAAGAGAAAGGCAATGAGGCGTACAAGAGCCAGGCCTGGTCTCTGGCGCTGGAATGCTATGACAAAGCCATCCAAGCAGACCTCCTTCGCATGGACATCGAGCTGTCTGCGCAGTTGCATTGCAATCGGAGCGCTGTTCTGATCCGCTTGGGGAAGACCGACTTGGCACTGGAGGACGTGTCATTGGCTGTGCGGCTGGCTCCCGTCTATGTGAAGGCCCGGTTCCGGCGCGGCATCCTTTACATGGAGCTCGAGCGCTACGCGGAGGCCGCGCAGGACTTCGAGTTCGTCTCCCGGACATCCCCGACCTTCGAAGGGCTTGGGACCTGGCGGAGCCGTGCACTGCGCTGGGCAGCGAGGCCCCCGCAGAAGAACTACTACGCTGTGCTGGGCGTCAGCTTCAGCGCTACACAGGCCGACATCAAGAAGGCTTACCGCCGGCTGGCACTCAAGTGGCACCCGGACAAGAACGTGGACCGAACTGAGGAGGCCTCCCAGAAGTTTAAGGCTTTGCAGGAGGCCTTCGAGGTGCTCTCGGATCCTGTGCGACGCCAGGAGGTGGACGGAGAGGATCGCAGCTCGTACCCGTTCCCTGGCGGGGTGAAGACCCAATGGCCGAGCCAGCGTCCCTGGCCTCCTTAAAGTGCCCTAAAGTTGCACAAGTCTTCCTCCTCGCATCTTCCCACCTCCCGTCGCCCTCCTTCGTCCTTCGAGCTGTCGATGGAAGTCTCGGTGCCAGCATGTAGCGGATGGAACGTGGAGCCCAAGGAGTCGGAAGTGCTCCGAAGGAAGGAGCCGGCCTTGGAGCTGTTGTCGGTCTCAACGGGCTGTCTCACGTATGTGGGCCGAGGGAGGGCGCTCCGCCACTGTTTCCCAGGCGATTTTTCGAGGGTCCGCACGCACGCTGGGAGAATCTGTGGAGTCGGCAAAAGCCAGCGCGCGCAGGACTCGACCCCACCCTCGGCCTCGCCGGTCCTTTCGGCAGGTGCTGGTGATGACGGACTTGGAGCTCTGCTTCTGGCCGCGTCACCGAAACTCTCCGTAAAGCGAAGTCGAAATCTCTGCGACACCGAGGCCTCCTCAGTGCTCCGAGGAAGAGGCCAGGGCCGGGGGTTCAGATGCCTCCTGCCAAAACTAATCAGACTCTCGTGGGATTTGTGTTCGGCAAACTGTGCAGTTCCTCCTGCTGGACGGCCTGTTGTTTTCAATGTCTTTCGTGGCTGGCCTTGTGCCAGGCGCGGCATTCGTTGTCCCAGCTGAGCCCCTGTGTGGGAAGCTTATGTGGCTTTCAGTTGACCCCTTCGCCTGCCTTTCCCAGGCTCTTGTGACGAGCCTCGAGGGCTAACAGCTCCCCACGCCAGAATCCTCGCACTCTCCGAGGTGCGTCGCAGGGCGGTCTTGGCTGCGCGGAAGTTGTTGAGGCGGCTTCGTCATGCGGTAAGACACGCACCCGCCCAGACCACTTTTGGGCTTTTTGAAAAGGCCGCGGAAGCGATCGAAAAGCTGCGAGGCCACAACTGGCCGAGGCAGCATCGGCATGTGACCTCTCCGGCATTGCCCGTGCGGAGGCAGGCGATTAGAACCACAAGGGACGGGCCTGGTGATGTTGAGGTTGGGGTGCTTGGGGATGTTGGTGCTTCGGGGTTTGAGGTGGTTGCGCTCGATCTGCCTAGATGCTCGCGAGTAAGTTATGTAAGTTGTGGATGAGGGTCGTTCAGCACTCCAAGGCTGGGGTTGGGGGATTGAAGTCTAGAGCCCTCGCAGCTTGAAATGGGCGTGGCACGAAGAATACATACACTGGCGTGAAAGGCCGTGAAGGTGGACGGTGCGAAAAGCCACAACCCCAGAAAGTTTGTGCTCAAGGTCCTCGGGAGGGGAGGTGCATAGAACAATTAGCAAGACGGGAGGAATCTGAAACCTAGAGCTTGCAGGCGTGGAGGGACTTGGAAACTAAACCCTGCACCACGACCCTGGGCAGACATCTAAACCCTAAGCCCGCAAGAAGACCCAAAGCTTGCAGCCGACAAAGCCGCTCTTTGCTGCTGGCTTGGCTCCAGATCCTCAGTAGTTCGGCCGAGCAGAGGCCCTGGAGCGCAAGGTGGCACCTGGTTTTTTTCAAAGGTTCAGGAATTAAACAAACAAATAAAACATATTTCAGGGACTGACCCCAACTGGGCGACATGCCTTGAGCTTTCGTGGTACGGAGAAGCTGGTCTAAGGCGGTATGGGAACGAGAAGGATTCGAGGGTTTTTCGGCTTTGAGAAGAGGACGTGCAGTGAGGCAGACGTTCCGAGGTCGGAGATGCCTTTTGATGTACTTTCGGGAGCCCTTGATTTTTCTGGGGTTCCGCCTTGCTTGAAGCGCTCCATGACCGACCTTAAACAATTCCGTGGCCCAAAGTTTGAAGCTTCCAACAGAAACTGAGACAGGGCGGCGATGGCCGAAGAGCAGATCGATGCCGCCTCCGTCGAACCCGCGGACCGACGGGAAGGGAAGGGTGTCTGTCATGTATGGCCCTGTAAAATAGCGGCAGCCAATAAGCATCATGATCATCATGACAATCACGGCAACAATAGTGGTTGTGCTGATCACACCTGCTGCTGCTGCTGCTCTACTATCGCCACCAGCACCACCGCCGCCACCACGACGAAGATGACTACTAGTACCATTACCAATAAGAACAGCAAAGATAGCACTAAGCCAAGACTATCAGTAATACTTAGAAATATCACGAAGAATAGTAACGAGAATGATAATATGCAGAAGAATTATCATTTCAATATTCATAATAGTAGTAGTAGTAGTAGTAGTAGTAGTAGAAGTAGTAGCAGTAGTAGCAGTAGTAGCAGCAGTACTAGTAGTACCAATACCAGTACCAGTACCAGAACTAGTACCAGTGCCTGCTAGTATTAGTACTAGTACTAGTATTAGTACTTGTACCAGTAGCAATACCAGTACCGGTACCAGTACCAGTACCAGTACCAGTACCAGTACCAGTACCAGTACTAGTACTAGTACTACCCGGACTACCACTGCTGCTACTTCTACTACTGCTGCTACTACTACTACTACTACTACTACTACCACTTTTGCTACCACTACTACCACCACCACCACCACCACCACCACGACTACTACTACTACTACTACTACTACTACTACTAGTACTACTACTGCTGCTACTGCTACTACTACTACTACTACTACTACTACTACTACTACTACTACTACTACTACTACTACTACTACTACTACTACTACTAGTACTAGTAGTCCTACCAGTACCACT